CCATTTTTTTTGCTTATTTAATACACATTCTTTCAAGTGTACAGGATTCCTAAAAGATGTGTCAAACTGGAATTTAGCTTAATAAATTAATTATAGTCTGCAACTAACCAGCCAAAACTGAGATCTCTATAAGGGTTCTAGAATTGATCTAATTCATGAGTTAGTCCAATGCTTGGACAGCATATTGTTTAATTCATGCATTTTAATGTTTAAAAATACTTCACTTACTCAGGCATAAATATACAGTGTGTGAATTAACTACAACAAAGGTATTAATTTGACAAATTCTTCATATACATGCATTTTTCTTGACAGTTGGGATTCATCAACGAACCACATAAAGGTGTTAAGAGTTACAGGGAAAAGAAAAAGTAGGGTCAGAATGAGGAGGACCGGAAATCTTTTTGTGAGTCAAGTTTATATTGGATTGTTAATCTATGCCTCATTAAAATGGTGACAGGTGAGTCAAGATTGAGGAGTTAGATGGAACAAAAGATTTAGATGCCACAGAGTATTTTAGACATTACAGGCCCACTCTCACTCCACCCTGGCTGTCCTAGCTCTGTAATCCAGGCTGACCTCAAGCTCACGAGAGTGGCCTGTCTCTGCCTCAGGGTTGAAGGTACACACATACCCTCTGAGACCAATGTGCTCCTTTTATTCTGTTCTCCTGTGGCTGACTCCCGACTAAATAAAACAGCCCAGCCTTCGGAAGCCTGGAAGAATTTTGCTTCTGCAAAGTCACCTTGCACTTCTCTCTACACTCTGGTTTTTTAGTTAATTTTTTTCATGTATTTGATCATGTTCCTTCCCTTCCCCCCCTTTCCCAGACCTCACCACTTCCCTACCCATACGTTTTGTTCTTGTTTTCGTTAAAAAACAAATAAAACCCACGAAAACTAAAGTAAAAATAAGCAAAAGACCAATAAGACAAGAAATGCCAAACAAAAGGAACAAAAAGTCCACGGAGTTCTTTTGTGTTGGACAGCTACTGGGCATGGTGCCTGCCCTGGAGTATGGTTGGTACACCCATCTACACTGGATTTTTTTTTTCCAGACAGGGTTTCTCTGTATTGCTTTGGAGGCTGTCCTGGAAATCGTTCTGTAGACCAGGTTGGCCTCGAACTCACAGAGATCCGCCTGCCTCTGCCTCCCGAGTGCTGGGATTAAATGTCCGGCTAGATTGACATTGTAAAAGCTTTAGCTGTGTAAGGAATTGAACTCAGGAACTTGTTCAATCTAGGTCTGAGCCGTACAGCCGAGCACCCAAGCCCTCTGTTTTCATCTTCATTATTAGTGTTATAATTTTTTCTCAGAAGGCACTTCCATGTGCTGGCAGACACTTTGCACAGCCAAACATGCTTCTCCAAGAACAGAGAGCAACGCAAAACCAAACCACAGGCCCGCCTTTCCCCGAGGCCTTATCAGAACTATTCATTCGCTACCTTCCTGACAATGTGACCCAAACCGGGAATCTCATCACGGATTCTTTTCGTGGGCAGGCACGGAACTAGCATTCAATGCCTTGCTTAGTTTATCCTCCACCCTGTTAGACATCAACTGTTCATGATAGTGAAATTAGAAGTCTGGAGCACCGAGGGTAACCTGCAGAGCTTTCAGTACTAGCCAGAGGGGTCCAAGTGACCGACAAGTGGTACACGCAGCACCCACGCCCGCTCAGCAAGTGCTGCCACAGCCAGCAATTAATCCGCTATATCTGCTTCCGGTTTCACCCACCTGCCACTTCCGGTCGCGTCCGTAGCTTTTGTTACTTGCAAACTAAAACTCAAATCAGCACACCCCGGCCAGGAGCACTCTGCACGCGGGACCCCGTTCTTCCCCACCAGCCACGCCCATGGAGGCGTGCCTTCGTGAGGAACAGCTTCCAGGAGGACACGCCCCACAGAGTCCCGCCCCGGGAAGGCCCGCCTCCTGGATGTACCACCTCCCAGGACTTAGAAAGGGCGTGGCCAAGCCTGAAGTTGGAGCTCCTAATTCTTTCCTTTCCCTGCTAGTTTTTAAAAGGTGTTTCTCAGGTCAACGAATTCAAAACTAGACTCGTGGAAAGGGCGCAGGCCACTTTCGAATAACTACCAGAGCTGTAAAATCCAGTGCAGATGGGGTTCCCCGAGTGACATTAGAGATGAGGGCTGTCAAGAGCGAAAGGAATAGTGGAGCATTTCATGGAGCGAGTTTTGAGGAAGTCCTAGAAATTCAGAGCAGGCAGGTCACACACCGGGCATTGCCCTGAGTCTTTACATATCTCTTCATAGTGAATGTGAAGAAATTCAAGATCAGCCTTGAAAGGCAAAATGAGTTTGAATAATTGTTACCCACAATACAGAGCAAATAATAAACTGGACTGAACGGATTAGGGAGTAATGATGTTTACTGTGGGTGCTCCATATTGCTGTTGACTAGAAAATACCTTCTGAAAAGCTACAGAACCTCTGCGGATCAAGTACACGAGAAATTCCCCCGAAGTCAAGGTAGCAGCAATGCAGTATTTTCTGCTAGCTATGGCAGGATAGCAGGCTGTCTCAAATATGAGTGACTAACCAATGACAAGGGCAAGCTGGGTGACTCCTCCACTGGTTTCTTTCAGCAAGTTGGCTAAACCGTGCAGTGCAAAATGGTCTCCATTCATTCTCAGGCAGGTACTGGTTAGCTACTGTGGCAGTTTGAGTCAAAGCAGTTGGAAGCAGCATTTCAACCAGATCTTCTTAGAACTTCTTTTTGTGCGGGTTGGTGGTAGCACACAGGCGGATTTCTGTGAATTCAAGGCCAGTGTGGTCTACAGATCGAGTGCCAGAATAGGCTCCAATGATATGCAGAAAAACGCTGTCTCAAAAAAACCAAGCTTCTTTTTGTGGGTGAGATAGAATCTCTCACCCTGTTGGCCAGGCTTGCCAACTATGTAGACCAGGATGGCCTCACAGAGATCTTCCTGCCTCTGACTCTCAAGCGCTGGGATTAAAGGCATTAGCCACTGGTGCTCAACCTAGATTCCTTCACTTACATTTTATTTACTATATTAACTCTGAGATTACACACACTGCACAGCAAATCAGTCTATCCGCATGAATATATGTAGGTTACAGGATGACTACAAAGGGTTAAAGAAACAAGACGCCTGGGAGACTACAGCTGGGAAACTGATAGAAATGGCAGAGGAGTCCATGGCTGTCTGATACCAAACCAACTGAAAGTTTTGGAAAGGGATGTGGCTACTGTTAGAGTCAGGGTGAGAGTTGAGCTGTCCAGCTGTGTTCAGCTGCAGTAGTGAAGGGCAGGAGCAAATGGGTGGACGGACCAACAACAGTTTCAGACAAGCAGACAGGCAGGCAGATGGCAACTTGAGTAGCCTATGTTGGCAGCTGGGACAAAGCAGAGCTGAAGTCCCTGGGAGAGCTGGGAGCTGCTAGGCTCTTGACACAGACACTCTGGAAGACCAGATGACAGGTTAGCGAGGCCATCACCACCGGAGTATAGGTGTCTGCCTCTTTGTGAGGTTCAAGTGAGAGAGCTACTCTATTTCCATGGCCTGTGTATTAGTAAGTTAAGTTCTTGGGTGCAGTTTTCCTGGTGTTTTATTATGTTTTTATTTATTTTTTTGTGTGTATGCTGTGGGTGTCAGAGGACAACATGCAGGAGACACCATGCTCTCTTCTCCCACCAAATGGGTTCTGGGGATCCAACTCAAGTTGTCAGGCTTGGTGGCATTTTGCCTTACCTGCTGAGCCAACCTGATAGTCCTGGTATGATTTTAATACAGCCATGTGCTCCTATAGTACCAATTTACCTTGATAAATTTATGGGGTGGCTTCCTGCCTATGCCCAAGAATAAGTCATTTATTAGTCTGTGTTTCTTGGGGCTGCAAGGCAGATGGTGATTATATGTTTACCCAAGTGCAGAGTCATCCTCCATCTTCAAAATGGAGACAAAGCTGCTTGTAAAATGGAGTCTCTCAGGACAGACCAGTCTTGGAACAAAACCAACAACACAGTTTTACATACTATGGCATAATTTAGGGAAGGGCATGAGAGCTTCCAAATTTAAAAAAATTAGGTCCATTTCATAGTTCCATACTTTGAAAACTTGATCTATCCAAAATCTACAGTCCTGAGTTCCTTCATGCCCCCATGAAACCTCCTTGCATCTGCCCTCGCCTTATTTTCTTGGTTACACCTCACTTCATTCCATCACTATATCCTGCTACACTTTACCTGGATTACCAATGCCATCATCTATTTGGATGACCACTCACAGAGAAGTCTTCCTAGTTGTTACAATCAGGTTTATGTTATAGCTGTTGTGGCTTTCTGAATGCTTTGCTGTATAATGCTGTGTCCTCTCTCTGGCACCATGTTGAATGCAGTGGTTATTTTGCTGTATCTCCAGCACCAAGAATTCTCCTAGATTAGGTGAATTCATTACATGTTGCTTTGATGAAAGCAACATAATTCAGAAGGAACCATTTATCGGGGCTTATAGTTTGAGAGTATAAGACATGACAGAGTATGAGGCAGCTGGTCACAGCGGTTATTCTGGGAGCCCAGGACATGGAATGATGCCACCCACAATCAGAATGGGTCTTCTCACTTCAATTCAGTTAAACCTCTCTAGAAACCTCCTTATAGACACACCTAGAATTTATCTCCTCAGTGATTCTAGATCCTGCCGAGTGGCCTGTTAATATTAATTATCACAGTGAACAACGGATGATTTCTGCAATGTTTTTCTTTTCTAAAGAGTTATATTCTGAGGTCTAGAGAGACAGATTAATGCTTAAGAGCATCTCTTCCAGAGGACCCAAGTTTGAGTCCTAGCACCCACAGGGAAGTTCACAACTATAACTCCAGTCTGAGAGAATATGATGCTCTCTTCTGGCCTCACTGGGCACCAGGCACCCACATAGGTAAAACATTCATAGAGAAAAATAAAAATAAAAAGAAGAGAAAAAGAGAATTATGTTTTGTGAAGGATAAGAAGAAGTATATATCATTTAACTATGTTTTTAATACTAGGCTCAAGATTCATTTCTTTAGAATTGGCCTGCCTCATAAAATATTGTTCCCCTCCCATCCCAAGATGCCTTTTCTCTATCTTTTAATAATATTGAGATAATGCAATTAGACAATACATACAGTTATTAAGTATTAGCATGCAAAAACATGTTCAAAACATGGGGTGGAACTCAGTAGCAGTTACATGTTTATCATGCTAGATTCAATCTCTAGCATCAAACCAAAACCAAACAACAACAATAAACCAAGCAAACAACAAAACCCACATATTATATAAATAATTACAATTCACCATATATCTAGATACTAAATAGTTTTAATTTCACCTACCATTGCTTGGGACAGTACTAATTTTTCAGACTACATATATCTTAACAACAGATATAAGTTTTTGCTTTTATTGTATGAGATATTGTTATAAAATGGTAGTTACTACACGATGAACACATTTAACTTGGAAAGAACTACACCCTAGCTCTGAAATAAAGGCAACATGGCAGAAAAAGACATGAGTGTGAAATGTTTCTGAAGAGAGGTGGCTCACTGTTCTTTTCTAAGGAGCCATCAACAGTGCTCTCTCACAGAACAGAAAGAGTTCCTGACCATGTGAAAGGTAAGGGACTCCAAAGCAAACCCCTGAACTTGAAGTGCAGCATATGAAAGCGCTTCGCCAGAAAAGGTGTGAAACAGCCATGCTTTGCTTAGCTTCCCCTTTCATACCACTTGCAAAAGATCTTTATTATATTACGGTAAAGTGCATTAGTATCAAATACTGTTAGTAAAAACAACTGTGGTGTTTGACAGGGATAGGATATACACCGAAGAAATCTGCTTTGGATTCAGGAGGGCCTTTTCTCCCTTCCTTCCTTTTTTTTTGTTAGGCTAATGGACTTCAGCTACATTGAACACATCCTCTAATCAAAATCAATTTTTGATTTCTCTGGTAATGTGTCCAGGTGACTTCATTCCAAATCTGTCATTACAAGGCCATCGTTCTCCTTCACATAGCTTATGGAATTCCATCCTGTGTTAGTCCCTTCCTTTCTTGTGAAGTTTTCTTGGTTTGTGTCTTCTAACTTTATTTTGTTGGTGTTTTGAAATAACCGCGTCACTGGTTCCAATCCACTCTTCTCAGCTCCTTGCATTAAGTGATCGCTCACTTCTGAATTCACCAGCACAGCAGATGTTTGAGTGGAAGCTTTACTTAGCAAAAATCCCATTGGGACAGCTGGTCAAACATCAAGGGAGTGTGAGGACCCCTTTTAAGAAGTGGAAATGCTTCTTCAATGTGATTACTGAAAAGAAAATCAGGTAGTAAGTGAAAGCAATTGGAATGTCAACAACTTCATCGCAATGATTCTTTAAGTGGTGCTGAAAACAGGAAACCACCTTCTACCCTCCAGCACGTGTGTTCTTTTTTAGGAGAAGATTTTATTTTTATTTTTAATTACATGCCTATGTGTGGATTTGTGTATGTAGGTGCAGTTCCAAGAGAGACCAGAACAGGGTGTTGGATCCCCCTAAAGCTAGTTACAGACTGTTGTAAATCACCCTATGTGGATGCTGAGTATGTGGATCCTCTGCAAGAACAGTACTCACTCTTACATGATGAGTGATCTCTTCAGTTCCCATTTACATAGTCCTGAAGGTCTTCTAAAAATTACATTTATTTACTGTGTGTGTGTGTGTGTGTGTGTGTGTGTGTGTGTGTAAGTCAGAAAACAACTTAGAGCAACTTGTAAGAGTCAATTCTCACCCTCTACCATGTGGGTCCTGAGACTGAACTCAGATTACCAGACTTGGTGACAAGTGTCTTTATCTGTTATGCCATATTGTCAGCCTTCTTGAAAGTATTATTTTAAATTAATTAATTAGTTTCATTTGGTGTGTATGTGGCATTTTGCCTGTGTGCCCATATATGTATACCATGTGCATACACAGTGCCCATGGAGGCCAGAAGGCGGCATCAGGTCTCCTGGAAATGGAATTAAAGATGTTTGTGAGCCACCATGTTGCTACTGGAAACCAAAGCCAGGTCCTCTAAAAGAGCCACAAGTGCTCTTAACTGCTGGGCCCAGTCCCTGAAAGTTTTTTTAAAAAGGTTTTCTTGATTTTGTTTATTCCTTTAAAAAAATACAGCTCCTCAATTTCTCTCAGACTATCATTCTTGCTGATAAAAACTTTTAATTCATTTCTAGTATGTTAAATAATCACCAAATATCCTTAGTTCCAGAAAAATTCTAATTAAAACTGCACTGTCATCTATCTATGCAGGGTTTTTCTGTGTAGCTTTGAATACTGTCCTGGAACTCCCTCTGTAGGCCAGACTGGCCTCGAACTCACAGAGATCTGCCTGCTTCAAGGTTGAGGAGGAAAGGAAAGGAAGAATCCTTATTCACTGCTGGTTGGAATGGAAACAGGAACAGTCATTATGGAAATAAGTATGGAGAGTCCTCAAAAATCACTAAAAATAGAAATACCACAGGATCCAACTATATCACTCTTGTGTATATTCCCAAAGGAATATAAGTCATCACTTCAGAGAGATATTTGTATATCTATACCCTATTCATAGCAACCAAGATATAGATCCAGCTTGGATACCTAACAACAGGAAAAGTGGTATATATCCACAATTGAGTTTTCTTCAGACATCAAGAATAATGACGCTATGTCACTTGCAGAAAAATGGATGGAACTATAGAACATTATGTTGAGCAAAATAAATCTGACTCAGAAAGACAAATACAACACTTTCTTTCACATGCATAGTATAAATTCTAGAAGACTATACATGTGACCAGGGGATGGTTCAGTGTATTAAACACTTGTCATCAAGCCTGAGATCTAGAATTTGAATCCACAGAAAAGCCAGGCAAGACCTGACAGCTGTCAGCAATTCCAGCACCTGGGGAGACAGACAGCATCCTTGAGGCAGGTTTGCTGGTTATCAGCTAGAATTAGAAAGCTCGAGGACCTTGAAAGATCCTGCCTCAATAAACTAAAGAAGAGAGTTATCAAGGAGGATACCAGATATCAACTTCAGGACACCTTTGTATGTACATGTGAATGTGCTCCTGTACACATGTAAACACATATACACATAAACCACACATACATGCAAAAAACTATATGATATGAAAGTAGAAGGGGGAGTATTGTGGGGGGGAGGAAAGGAACAAGTGGGGGTGGTGGGGGGGAAAATGTGAGGAAAAACCAAAAACACGATTTTGCAATTTCATCTATGTATGCATGCAAATTTTATATAAACCTATTATTTGGCATTCAAACTAAGTCTAAAGATTGAAAACAAACTTTAAGGCATGAAAACAAACAGGAAGAATTATAACCTGTAACCAAGAGGCCAAAGAAGCTAATAGGAACAAACCTAGAAATGTCATGAATTATAGAATTTAGTTCTTTAACACAGTTATTTAAACTATTTTGTACATTCCCAAGATAATGGTAAAGCAAAGTATTCACAGGATATGTTTTGTTTTGGCTTGTTTTTTGTTTGTTTTCAAGAAAGGGTTTCTCTGTGTAACAGCCCCGGCTGTCCTGGAACTCCTTTGTAGACCAGGCTGGCCTTGAGCTCAGAGATCTGCCTGCCTCTGCCTCCTGAGTGTTGGGATTAAAAGCATGCATCACCATGGTCTGGCATAGATGTGGTGTGTTTTATAATGGAAGATTTTTCTTAAAAATCAGACTTTCAATAATGAAAAATATGACTTTAATTTTTGTTGTAGAGATGTATTTTTATTTTACGTGTATAGGTGTTCTGCCTATATTTAATGTGTGCACCATGTGTATGTACTTCCCGTGGAGGCCAGAAGAGGCATCAGATCCTTTGGAACTTGAGTTACAGATGGTAATGAATAACCTTGTAGATGGTAGAAATTGAATCTGAGTCCTCTAGAAGAGCAGCCAGTGTTCTTAACCACTGGGCTAGCTTTTCAATATCCACAATTTTTTTTAGTTTTTGAAACTGGGTATTATGTAGCCCAGGTTAGCCTTGGAGTCACTGGAGGCTTTAATTCCTAATCCATCTGCTTCTATCTCCCAACTGCTAGGATTACAAACATGTATACAAATCCTGGCATCAGAAAACAATTTTAGCTGGGCAGTGGTGGCGCATGCCTTTAATCCCAGCACTCGGGAGGCAGAGGCAGACAGATCTCTGTGAGTTCGAGGCCAGCCTGGTCTATAGAGTGAATTCCAGGACAGCCTCCAAAACAATACAGAGAAACCCTGTCTGGAAAAAACCAAAAACAAAAAAACAAAAAACAATTTTAAGTTGAGCAGAGTGGTGGCTGAGGTGAGCATGACCAATGGAATGAATAGAAACTCTACAGTAGTGAGGAGGATGGTAGCAGAGAGGTTGCCTGGCACACAGGAGGCCTTAGGCTCAGTTGCCAGCATACATTCTCTCTCCTTCTGTCTCTGTCTCTTTCCCTCCCCCCCTCTCTCCACACAGACACACAGACACACACACACACACACACACACACACACACACACACACACACACACACACACACACACACACAGAGGCATCTCTCTCTCTCTCTGGAAAATATCAAATTTAAAGGAAAACAGCAAAGTAAGCTGTGGGAACAGACAGTATCAAGTAACTTAACATATGTGCACTAAGAGGTCCAGAGATACAGAGAAGGCAAACAGAGAAGTTTTCAATCAAACTGCTGAAAAGCCTAGCCTGTCAGAAGAGTAAGGAGGGCTACGGTTAGGTGGGATAGGGTGGAGTACTCACCACTCTTGGGATTTCCAGAAAGAAGGAAACTCTCACTTCCTTGGCTTTGGGGAGGAAGCTAGTAGTCCTGGATAGGAAAAGAAAAGAAACTCTTTACACTCTTGGCCTCGAAATGGATCTTTTCTTTACATTTTTTTCCCTATAGATTCTGCAGTAACACCTATGAGGCAGAGACAGAGGGCTTAACTGTTTTAAAACTCTAAGTGGGCTGGTTAATTTTTGTCAACTTGACACAACCTAAACGTATCTGGAAGGGAGGGAATCTTAATTGTGGCATTGCCTCCCTCAGATTGGCCTGTAGGTGAGCCTGTGGGGCATTTTCTTGATTTAGAGATGTGTGTGGGAGGGCCCAGAATACTGTGGGCAGGGCACTTCTGAGCAATAGTTCTGAGTTGTATAAGAAAGCTGGATGAGCAAGCCAGTTAACAGCAGGGTTCCTGCCTCTACTGCTGTTTGAGTCCCTGCCTTCAATTCCCCTAATGATTGACTGTGATCAGGATGTATAAGCCAAATAAGCCCTTTCCTTTTCATGCCTTTGGTCATGGTGTTTATCATAGCAATATAATGCAAGCTAAGACTCTGCTCCCTCCTCTATCTACTATTAATAATCTTCATTCTCTCCCCTCAAATCTTCAACTCCAACCAAGAGTGGTTTTCATGGGAGCATCAAAGCAGGTTTTCCCTAAGTGTGTGTTCTATCACCGAACTGCATGCCCAACCTGACTGGTAAGTTTTGAAATTGGTACATTCTTTCTTATATGTTTTCAAAAATCCTACTCCAGATTCCTGAGCTCAGTTTATGTATTATATATTATTCCCCTCCCCCCAATGTTTCAGGATGGTCTTTGAGAGCCCATGTTTCTTTATTATTTTTATTTTTAAAATCAATTACTGTTATTTCAGAAGAAACATGCTCCCTGGGTCTTCTGTCTATCTTATCTAAAATAATTAGGACACTAAAATTAGTTTTATAACATCTAGTAATGCTTACAAAGAATATAATTTATGAAAATAAATGGTATAAAATATAGTATGTAAAGACAAAAATACCTTATGAAAAAATAGGGATACTGAAAAATAAGAGTTATATTTAAGGGTACTTCCCTGAAAAAATTAACAAATTTGTTTGCTTGTGATACTTTATGGAAACGTGAGTATTTACAGAGGAGAAACAAGAAACAAGAATTTTTCCTTTTTTTTTTTTTTTTTCTAGGCAGGGTTTTTCTCTGTGTAGCTTTGAAGACTGTCCTGGAACTCCCTCTGTAGACCAGACTGGCCTCAAAGATCTGCCTGCCTCTGCTTCCCTAGTTCTGGGATTAAAGGCATGTGCCGCCACCACCGCCCAGCAAGAAACAAGAATTCTTATGACTTTACTTTCCAAATGCACAAGTTTAAACTATGGCATCAAAAAACTGCAAAAATCTTGTATGATCATCTGTTAGAAAAGGCAGGCAGATGGGATCACAGAAAAAACTTCTGAATAGTAAAGAAAGGAAATTTATAGCCTAGTGAACATGTTCACTAACAGTCATGCCCATTAAAGTGTATGTGTGATCTTTTGCTAGCTGTACTTTTTTTTTTTTAAGGTTTATGTTATATATATAGTGTTCTACCTGAAGGCCAGAAGAGGGCACCAAATCTCATTACAGATGGTTGTGAACCACCAAGTGGCTACTGGGAATTGAACTCAAGACCTCTGGAAGAGCAGCCAGTGCTCTTAACCTCTGAGCCATCTCTCCAGCCTGCAACTTGCACTTCTGACAAGAGGATAAAAGCTAAACTTTACAGCCTGGAGAGATGGCTCAGTGGTTAGGAGCCATTCTTCCAGAGAATGCTGATTCAATTCCTAGCACCCACAAGGTGATTCACAACCACCTGTAACTCCACTTCTCGGGGATCCAACTCCCCTTCTGGCCTCTGTGGGCATTAGGCACATACGTGGTACACAAACATACATGCAGACAAACACCAGTACACATAGAATAATTTTAAAAATTAAAGATAAACTTTTCGCCGGGCGATGGTGGTGCACGCCTTTAATCCCAGCACTCGGGAGGCAGAGGCAGGCGGATCTCTGTGAGTTCGAGGCCGGGCTGGACCGATAGCCTCTGAAACAACACAGAGAAACCCTGTCTCGTAAAAACCAAAAACCAAACCAAAACAAAACAAAACAGAAAAGATAAACTTTTCAAAGACCTGAAAAAAATTAAATCCCCAAAAGTTTTATAAAAGTGCCAGTCAATTAACGGGCTAATGAAATGTGCCATCCTCAAAAGAAGAAAACATATATAACCAACAAATGTCTTAAAAAGTGTTCAACAGCACCAGAGAAATGCTGAGAATTAAAAACTACTCTGAGATTCTATCTCACCCCAATCAGAACAGCTATTCTTATGAAGAAAACAATGCTGGCAACGATGTGGAGAAGGGAAGCCTTTGTACAGTGCAAACTGATATGAAGACCTTGGAAAACAGTGTGAAGACGTCTCAAAAAACTAAAAATAGAAACTCATGACTTAGCTACACAGCTTCTGGCCCATGGCCAAAGGTCTCCACACCCCATCGCAGAGACACTTGCATATCCATGCTTATTGCTGCCCTACTCACAATAGTCATCAAGTGGATCCGGCATGGACATCCTGATCAAACAAATCAATAAAGGAAACATTATACATATGCAATGGAATTTCAGTTAACCATGGAGAAAAATGAAGTCGTGAAACTTGTAGGAAAAGTAGAGGATTTGGAAAATGTGTTAAACGAGATAACCCGGACTCACAAAGCCAAATACCACACGTTCTTTCTTGCCTGCGGATTCCAGCTTTAAATGTGTAAGAAGGGGGGACTTAAGGGCGCGAGTTGCGGGAATAGGTCATGAAGATGCAAGGTGAGGAACGAAAAAAGGGGTGTAGGGAGTAACGACACTTGTGACTTGAGAGCAGGTGGGGGAACCACTGGAGTAGAGAGGCTAAAGTGGGGAGCGGATGGGGACAGAAAGGGCAGAAAAATCAACAAACACATTGTGAACGCAAACGCCGCCGTGAAACCCACTTACTTTACATTCTAATAAAAAGATGCAAAAACAGAGGGAGAAAGATAAGCTTCTCGTAAGCTGGAGAGAAGAGGTGAAACCCCCAGAAGCATTAAGAGAAAGTATGTTTCCAAGCTCAACTTTGAAAACTGGCAGCCTAGACCAGCGCTCGTTTCTTTCCACCTTTTTCATTTCAAGATGCGATTTTAACGCAGTCGGATAGCCAAAACCACCGCCCCGGTTAAGCTAAACGAAGGCCGAAGTCTGCCCTCTGATAGAAGCCAAAACTTGCGGCAAAAACCTAGATACAATGTTTAACATCTCGCGGGGTTTTATATCCTTTCTTGCGTCTCATCGCCAGGCTTCCTAGCGAGGGACCTGGCCAGCCTGGAACGTGAGAGTTTGTTGCTGGGGCTGACACTTCCCAGTTCCATCCTGACCCAGGCGGAGGGGCGGCCCTCAGCCGCCACGGTCCCTCTGGGAGGCTGCACCAGGGAACCCCACCTGAAGGCTCCCCCAGAACAGCTTCCTGACGCTGTCAGCAGCTCTAGGGCGTAACCGTTTCCCTCAGCAGGAACGCCTCGGGCTCCAGTGACCCGCTGTTGGCCTGGAAGCCACAGGTGTTCTAAGCGCTAAGGGACGGCCACCGCGCATGCGCGCCCCGGCAGCTTCCGTAAAGGCGCGGGGCTAGAGGATGGTTACTAGGAGACAGGACGCACGGGTCGGCCATCTAGGCGCTGCGTGGGCGTGCGCCTGCGCGGCGCGGATGGGCCAGGAAAAGGCCTCTCTGGTCGGAGCCCTGAAAGGCGGGCAGGCGGCTGTGCACGTCGCTACGTGCTCGGGTGCGCGCGCGCACCACTTGTAGTCCCCGCGAGGGGGCGTGTCGAGCCAGGTACGCGTGCGCACGGGGGCTGGGGGCGCGCCGGACGGAAGCGGAGCGGAGGCGCCGGGGAGGTGGAAGGAGAGCCCCCCTCAGGTACAGAGCGTGAGGGCGGGGCGTCGGCCAGCCGGGAGCTAACCGCTCCCGCCCTCTTCCCGCTGCGACCCGCCGAGCCTCCGCCTCCGCCGGGGCGGGGCCCACGAGGTGGGAAGGAGGAGTCAGGGGCGGAGGATGGTGGCGGGGGCCGGTCTGGATGTCCCGCTGGGCGGGCGGGCCCTCAGTAGCCGGGATGAGCTCTCGGGAGGAGGACGGCTCGGGAGGCCGAGGGAGGGCTCCAGAGCTCCAGGTAGAAACCGCCAAGGTGCGCCGGGCTACAGGAGGCCCACCCCGGGGCGGCTGCAAGAGGGTGGGGAGAGGTGTTGGGGTCTGACGGTGGCCCCGGTGGGCATCGCTGCTTGAGCGGCTGCGTCGCGTGTAGCCGACGGCTTCCAGGAACAAACCTGACTCTAGTTTCTGGGGAGTTCAGGGGCGAGCCCAGTTCCTATGGTGACCGCTTCGCTTCCCGCCTCAGCTTGGTTGTTGGGAGACTGTTTTGTTTAGAGACACTGTGCAGTGAAGCTGAGGCACTTGGAAACTCAACCTGTTTTCCTGTCTCGGTGGTCTCCTTGGTCTCTTCTTTCTAGCCTGGGAGGCAGGTGAAGGCAGACATTGAGGTTTTGCATGAAAACCTCATAATTTCTTTTAGAGTTTTGTATAAAAGAAAGGCAGGGTAGGCTGGCTTTTGTTTGAAAAAGTTACTTAAGTCTCAAATAGGCGGCTGTCGTGCGCTTGATACCTAAAAACGCCAACGTATATGCACATAAATATATATGTATTTATATATGTCCTTCAGTCAAGGATTTAGACTTTAAGAAAAGTTTGCACAAGTGACAGTGTTCTACGTTTTCTTACCGCCCCCCTTCCCCGCAGATCTGTGTGTCCCACAATAGTCGTTTTAAATTTATTCTATTAGTCTTTAGGAATTCTAGTACGTTTTGTTCACTTTCAGGAAATAAAGTCACAGTAATTTCAAAGTAGAATATATTATTTGTTAGTATAAAAGGGAGTTATGTCAAGTTGTGTTTTAATTGAGCAATGAACTAAATCCTTCGGTCTTTATTGAGAAAGAAAATAAGAAGATGAATGTTACATCAATCCCTTTCAAATCTTAAACTTTGATATCATTTAATGGCAGTTTCAAAAACATGTTTTATTTACTTTTCAAGAAGAATCACTGTTGTAGCCCAGAATATAATCTGGCAAAGAAAGTCTCCGGGATCTGTTTTCTGTCTTCTGCCTGGTTTGTTTGCAAATAGTTTGATTTTAAAGTTCTCCACAAGTAGAGGCCATTAGAACGAGTGTTATTTATTCCCTTAAGGGTCACATGCCCTTCACTCCTTGCTTTCCCTAGTAGTTTTCATCATATTCTTAAACGAACAGATGCCTTACAGTCTGCCTTGTTGTGGAACTTAATATAAGAGGAGTTGTAACAGCTATTGTACAGCTTCCTTACTTAACGCTTGAAAAGTTTATTCTTATTGCTTCGAGTTAGTTTGACAGTTCGTACTCTGTTGTAAAAGAGTACCTCAATTTACTGTTGGTGGACAGTAGGGTTTTAAAATTGTTTTTGACAATACTCTTTGGCATGGTTATGGATATAAAATTACACGGGAGGCAGTTTGAAAGGTAGTTGTTTTTGTTTTAGTTACACTGTTAGCCTTAGTCTTGTATTACTAAATCCCTTTGGTCCAGAAAGGCCTTCAGAAAACAGCTAGCCCCCATCTTGTGTTTCTAAGAGGTCCTGACAAACAAACACTACCTCTCCTAAGGCCATTGTTTCATGCTGCATTGAGGAGGCAAGCTGTTTCTTTAGAGAATGCATTGTAGAAAGGAGATGAGATCCTGGAGGTTGGATTCTAATGACTTAACTGGAAAGTTTTGTTGTTGTTGGTTTTTTTTTCCCCTTAAGGAACACTTGAATGTGGCTTTAATATTTTGTTTGAAGTGAATTCTCAAAACGTACTTATTTTTGTCATAAATACATACACAGCATTTATAATATTTTTGTATGGTTACCCACATCTTCTGGTAGGCAATTCAAGCCTACTTTGAAGGGTGTGTAAATCTAAACTTTTGGAGAGAATCCTAATAAAAGAAAACTAAGACTTAACCCTAGTTTGCTTTTGCAGAATCAGGTTTCAGAATTGAATAGAAAACATTCCAGCATTTTCAATTTTTGTACAATATAATAAATAGACATTTGCCAAATACATATGTACTTCAGTTTGCTTAAGAGTAATGATACTTTGTGTGTTATGTGTGTGCTTGTATATGTGCTATATGTAAGTGTATACATGTATTTGGAGGCCACAAGTTGACATCCAGTCATGTCTGTGTCCTGTGTTCTCCCCTCCCCCAATCCCTCTCTACTGATTTTTGAGGTAGTGTCTCTCACTGAACTTGGAGCTGGTCAGTTCAGCTAGTCTGGCTGACCATCATGTCCCAGTGATCCTCTTGTCCCTTGCTTCTGCAGTACTGGGATTACAGATACACACTCCACTGCTGTGCCTAGTCTGTTTTACATGGATGCTGTGATCTGAATCCTGGTTCTCATACTTGTATTTTTTTGACCCTGATAATACATTTTTGACTAACTTTTTAAAGTTAAACACAAAATAGTCTGTTTCATGATAGCATTTTATACACATATTGTTGTATCTTGATCCTATATGCTTCCCTAGCCTCCCGGACCTTTTGATGATATTTTTGAACATATAATCTTAACGTCTGTTTCACTGAAAAATTAAAGTCCCACTAGATAGGATGTTCCTCACTTTTTTTTACCCCTTGTTTAAAATTTCATTTATCTTTGCTTTTCTTATTTTTATGTCAGAATATAGCACACATTCTTTACCTGAATTTCCTCATGTTCTTCCCCCTTTCCCCCCATCCACTAATCAACATTTGTTTATGTCTTAATTGTTTCTATGCTGTAGAGCTTCCTCACTTGCAGAGACTTTAGGGAATTACTTTTCTTAAAAATAATGTGTTACATTTGTGTTCCTACCTGCCCGGGTGTACACAAGCCGCTGTGCCCTGGGGAGATGAGAGAGCAGCTTGTGAGAGTTGGCTCTGTCCCTCCACTATATGGGTCCCGGGGATCAGCCCAGGTCATCAGGTTCAGGCACAAGTGCCTCTGCCAGTTAAGTCGTCTCACTGGCCCTGGCTTTAGGCAGATATTGAAGTGGTTTTGTGTATGCAGGTTAGATATCACCCATCAGAAATGCTTAAGATCAGAAGTGTTGCCATTTCAGAGTTTGGGGACTTTAGGAAATTGCATGTACATGATACATCTCAGGGATAGGGGCCAAATCTAAATAGGAAATTCATTTATGTTTCATGTGAACTTTGTATACAAAGCTTGAAGGTAATTTTATTTAACACATTCGGTGCACCAGGTTTTTGACTAGTGAGGTCAGGTTGGAATTTTTCCATTTGTAGCTTCATGTTGTTTCTTAGAAAGTTTTGGAACTGGGAGGATTTCAGTTTTGAAATTTCAGATTAAGGATGCTCAGCCATTATTTGCATTTTCTTGAGACACCCAGTATTTGTTTGATTCTGAAAGGGGTCTCTTGAAAAGATTTAAGTATGCTTTTCTACTTTTGGCAGTGACACCTACAACCTTAGTCTTCCTCTAACTTTTGTTCTGTCTCTTTGGCTTCTGCAATCATGCTTACATTTTATATTTTGATTTTTAATACTTATGCATGTATTAGTCCTCTTCAGATTTGCTTTCACCTCATTGTTTGCTTCAGACATTGTAAAGTTGCTATGGTAGTGAATGTCCAGTAAAAGCGACACAGTGTTAAATGCACCGATATAGGCGTGTTCATAGGTTTTGAGGAATGGAAATTAGATTCTAAGCCTTTTGGGGCAAGTAAACATAGGAGCCCCTTTTTGCCTATGTCCTTATAGTGTAACTGTGTTTACAGTGACAAAGTGCTAATTATGCTGTGCTATACTTATGTGCTCTGGACTTCATAGATTAATTGAAAGTTGAACTTGTATGTTTTTGTTTTCTATTTGTTTTCCCTATACATGATTATTGCTTTTTAGTATGGCTAATAGCTATATAAAATTTTGTTTGGTGAATAGATATAACTGTTGCAATCTGATACTGTGAACTAAAGCTGATATTGTGTGTATGAAATTATAAGAAATCTTCTAGTGAAAAGGTCAGTATAACTTGATGGCTGATTAGATAATTTGAATTAGTGAGGGGAATTTATACTGATAATAATGTTTAGTGCTTACTATATGCTAGGTAGTATTCTAAGTCTTTATACATATTACTTATACTCATTTAACCATTACACAACTTTATGAGGTGTAGGTACTATTAGTATCACCCCTACTTAATAGATGAAGAAGCCATTTACAGAGAAGTAGTATGCTTAAGGTCTTGCCGTTAAGGAGTAATGGGCAGGGACGTGGCATTGCATGCCTTTAATCCCAGTACTCGGGCAAAGGCAGCAGATCTCTGTGAGTTTGAGGCCAGCCTGGTCTACAGAACCAGTTCCAGGACAGACAATGCTACACCGAGAAGTACCGTCTTGAAAATCAAAAACAAACAAACAAAAGAAGCAATGGAAATAGGATTA